GTGCTTATTGCAATTGCTCGGTGTAGCGTTATGCACAGTTTTTATGCAACTTTTGGTTGTCTCTTAATATAGCAACTGTGACTCATTGAATTATTGCAAGAGCTTTTTAATCCATACTGTTCCCTTGTATGCTTTGGACAGAGCTAACTCAACTTCTGATGATTCTAAGGACATACGTGGTTGTTCTTTACTAAACTAGATAATGGCTCCGCCGTTGACGATGAAAATCGCTACTCTGTTCGATTTTCTTATTTTTCTTTCTTTTGTCTCGTTCATATCTGCCTAGCCAATCAAAGATGAGCTTTTATTGCTGAGTTTCAGCTTATATTTTATTGTTGTTTTAAGGTACTGGCAAACTTTCGTAATTTCATTCCAAGATGAAGACGTGCCTTAAGATGGAGACTGGCATGGCAATTTATGATCTTGAATTTACCGCAATGAACAGTATAGCTTCAATCAACTCTTGATAGTAATGATTTTTATGATCTGACGATTGTCTAGCATACCCTGGGTCCATTGGATAATAGTATATTGCTCACCTAGGGAGGAAAAGTAGACAAGTCCATCCCACGAGCCGAAGGCGAGGGTGGTATCCACGTGGGAAATGCTTGTCTGATTATCCTCCCGAGGGTTGCATACGATTTTTCTGTCGATATGCGGCGAAAGCGACGTTTCTAACCGAACTAAGTGAGGTTAGAATGCTCACTTTCGGCGCATGTAGACAGAAAAAAAAATTCTTCAACTCTTTTATTTAATTGACAGGCGACAAGAAAATCATGGCCATGTAGGTCATATATATTTGAGATTTCACGGTTGAGGAAACATATAGACAACTGTCTGCTGCACGAGAAGTAAATCCATGAGCTTGTAGTAGCTGGGTGAGCCAGTGGTACCAAACTTTTATCGCTTGCTTCAGGTCATAAATGCTTTTGACTTGCCTACAGGTAAATTGGTGTTTCCCCTCGACTACGTATCTGGGGGGCTGTGGCATGTAAATGGTTTATTGGTGATTTCCGTTGAGAAATACAGTTTTTGTATTGAAATGTTTAACAATGCATCCACGTCCACCGACGATTGAATGTATTCAGACAGTCGGATGTGTGACAACCGGTAGGGAAATTTCGTCGTAGTTTACATTGTACTTCTGCGTGAAACTCTAGGTTACCAAGCCAGCTTTATATCTAGTTCCTGCACCATTTACATGCTTTTTTATTTTAACGACCCAGCGGCAGCCCATTTTCGTTTTGCCATAGCTAAGAGCATCCCTCAGGGTTTTTGGCTCCTTTTTGTTGTCTTCATTTATGGCCAATGGGTCGTCTAACGAGGCGAATGCTTCTGGCGAGGATTGGCTGTTGGTTGTTATAGTTGTGCTTGCATTTTCGAATGAGACTGCAGACTCTATCAGAGTTATTTTCTCTTGACTCATTGGGTCTCGATTTTTTGCCCGTTACAGCTGTCCCTGCGAAAATGCTTGGATCTTTCCGCTAAAGATATATTGTCGAGTCATAATTTGGCGTTTTTCTGGCCTTTATGATGAAGTTCTATTCTTTTCTAGTTAGTATTTACGTCGACTGGTAACCATATGTTGTCTGGGGTTGACGGAGTCGGAGCTGTAGTGGGTCTGATTTTCGTGCTTGAAAAACTTTCGATGAATTTGACATGTCGGTTCTCCGTAATTTTTTCACTAATTTGTTCAAGTAGCTAATAGGCTTTGGACATCTTTGCATACCCCACCAACACACCTTCGGTGTTTAACTTCGACCTTTGTTGATGTGACAGGTGAACGAAAGCTCCGCAGCCAAACATTTTATATGGGCCATGTCAGGTTTTGAGCCGTATAAGAGCGCAAATGGATTGCTGGTTTTGCTCGTATGGGTATCCTATTGCGAATGTAAGCTCCTGTTGTGACAGTTTCATTTCCATAATAATTAGGTAGACTCGGATCGATGAATATTGTATGTGATGAATCCCCCATGTTGCTGTGTACTGTATGGAGTTGTTAGTTGATGATTGATCCTTCATGATTAAAGGAGCTTTCAAGGCTTCATGAAGTGAAATTACTTTCTTTGTCTGATTGACTTGAGTGTACGATTAAATTGTATCCTGATTGAAAGCATGGGATTTTTTATTGTTTCCGTAGCATTGGATTTCTTGTGGATTAGAAATGCGTACGTGAATCGGCTGTAAGCGTCGATTAGTGTCAGCACATATCGTTTTTCGTTAGGTGTTGATGTTTTTGTTGGACCACACTAGTCATTAGTCATCAGTCATAGTATATTAGTTCGAAGTGCTTTGTTGTAAGTGTCACGGTTCTTTTTGGGAGGAGGTTACGAGTCAACTTCCCCTGAATGCAACATTCACAGTATGCGACGATGGGACATGGATTCATTTTTAGTCCCGTGATGAGGACGACCTGTGCTGATGATTCAATGGTCTCCGGCTGTATGCAATTGTCTGCATGTTCAGTACTCACGCTGCAGGGTGATTGTATTGTTCTCAGCATTGTTCTTTTGACCTGGTTCGCCAATCTTATACATTCTGTGTTTTAAGTCTACTACTACGCATTAAAAATTGCATTTGTAGACAATCATTTGTCCATTCATAGTTAGTTTGTGAAAGCCTTGTTGATCATGTGTTGGGATAGTTATTAATCTACTTTTAAATGACGCTACATGCAACGTATCAATCAATTTGATTGTTTTCGTGTTGCCATTAAAAATACAGCATTGTATTTTTTTATGACGTTATACGATTATGCTAGCTACGTTTTTGCATTGATCTGTTACACTAACACCTTGGCTCCATTCACCATGTAAGGACTTGAGGAAATTACTGTTTAGTGCGATATGTTTTATTACTGCTGAGTGGAAAAACCAATCAAAAATAAGCATCCTTTGGTTCGTTGTTATAAATGCGTATTCTACCTCGCTCTTGCAGCCTTGGTCTCTCAAATCGTTAGTGTCCTGTACTGTGAGAGCGTTCGCAGTTTTATTATACTTATTCGAAAAATATTCTTATAATTCCTACGGTGGGCTTTTCACTGGCCTGGTTTGTGACCATAATCACGCACGTAACTTTGCTCACCTTGTATTTGAACACTAAGGGTTGTATCTGATGTCTTGCTAACATTTGCCTGGCTTTGGCGCCTGCGATTCTCGTTCAGCATAGCATTTTTAACCAACAAGGGGTTTAGATCTCTTTTTGATCTGTCATGTAGTGCTTATATTGAGCGGTTTCAAGAGGATGGCGAACTGCATAGTAAGAATACTGTTAAGTTTTGGCTCCATAAGCCATTCTCCTTGACGACCGTATGACGTGGCTCGCTGCGCGACCACAATGCGCCGTTGCGCTTCTATAGATATATATTGTTCGAGAGACGCTAAGCGTACACACGTGTTACGACTTCCGTACCGTTGATTACAAATAAATACTCTTACATTCAAATAATATAAAAACTCCGTCTCACTGATTTACTTAATCCCAAAACCCTTCAAATACATATTTGAACATTTTTCTGGTATTTCCATTCCCACATTTGCTAGCTGATCCACCATGTCTTGCATGGTACAAATGTGGGCCTCCAAATTATCTGTCCTAATCGATTTCCAAGCTACTCAGCTGTTTAAAGAAGTAAATCGTCTTCGTAAGGCCGCCATGTTCGTGGGATTGCTGGACTATGTCTTTTGCGGATGTACACTTATGATTAGGCATTTACATTGAAATCATTGATCAAAATATCAATGGTTGCTCTTGTTTTGCAATCCTTTTTATCCCATTCTAGTCGAGCATTGGCTTCAGTTGGCCGATTCTTCGATGTCACTTCATACAGATCACCCTTCATTAACAGCATCGGTAGTCGGAATTTCCAGGCTTGGTAATTGTTTTGATTTAGCTTACTGGTTCCACAAAAGCCACATGCTTCAGACATCTTGATTGCCAAGGTCACGAAATCGCTTATATTGTTTTGGATGTGTTAACAAAAACTACGACTGTAATTTAATTGCTACTCTAGTTAATTGTCACTTTGAGTAGACATACAGAGTGACTTTCAGAGTGTTGAACACTGAGGCAACGAAGTCGTTAAGCTCCAATTTGACTCGGTTTGCAAGCTCGGATCAAGGTGGGTCCTAGTTTGATCCAGGCTTGGACTAACTCAGTTGTCTAATTGATATCCAAACTTGCTGCTCCGATAACCTTCCCACCTCAATATAAAGGGGTTGGCAAAGTAATCCGCGGAAGTTTAGGCGGCGAAGTAGCGGCTTCTGCACATAAGGAGCTGGCAGTAGTTATGCGGCCGCGGATGGTGATCGTCAGGGGTTGCAATGATACTTGCAAAACAGCTTCAGCCGTGGAGGCGGGCAACAGAGCCAGGCCGAAATAGAGAGAGGACACCGCCAAAGGAGCTAGTCTGATACTCGGACGGCTCTAAGTCTGGCGCCCAAGCACGTACATGGATCTGCATTTAACCTTCAATTGCAAGGTCCCTGCGGCTGGATCCGCACGCCACCGTACTCCAGACTATTACATAAAAATTATCGCGGTCAAATATCGGGCGGCCCGAATTATTAATCATGTGAGAGAGTGATATCTCCGAGGGTAGCAGTGCAGGAATTATTTCTGAAACATTGGGGAAGTGCTGAGAAATTACTCTTGTTATTACCGAACAGAAAATTATATTTGAGCATCACAAAATTTAAGAGCGCATGCGTTTGCAATAGATTGTATCTGTCGCTCACGCCCGATTCATTGGGATTGGTAAATGATGACATTGTCACACACCCCCCCCCCCCCCCCTCCATTCATATGATATCGCCGCGTTACGTAGTTGTTGCCTACGTTCACCTGTGCCACTAAAATGACTTCCCGTTTGGTGCATTCGCAAATCGATTGTGGCATTTCGAGAATTTGTCCACATTTCTCGACTCCCAGAAATACCCTCATAAGTCGAGTACGTATATCGAACTATGAGACAATAATATCGTGTATGTATGGAAACTTACCAACAGCGCCATAAAGGTTTTGAAAGATTTCACTTTCGTGGTCCAGTTTCATATTATGTTTCTTTCTAAATGCTGGATTCAGGTAAATTTTTGTATAAAACAATTGGTCATCATCAGTGTCGGTGACAGGGAAGCTCATTAACACTGAATAAATATTGGAAGCATAACCGATGAAACCGCCGGAATTCAAATAAGGTTCACCTCTAGTAATCGCAGGATATTGGGATGCCAATGATTTATTTGGCCAACAAAACCCTTCTGCAGAAAATAGTATTCGAGCGCCGAATAACTTGAATCGACTGATTATGGCTTCCAAAGGTGCCAAGAAGATGACATCATAACTAAAATTAAAAAATTATCAGTAATTCAACGGGAATTATCCATTTTAGACGCCGTATGAGAAAAATCAACGTTTCGATATTATGCAGAAAATCATCAAAGGAAATGTCCATACTTTTCTATCATCATACCCAGCGAAGTAGTCCCAGATGATTCGAGGACCCAGGGGGGGACCAAGAGGTACCAGTACAGTTATACTTACTTCAGAGCAAATTTTGATTTGTTATCACATATTTGTCAATAGATTTTCGCAAATTCCGGACATTAACCTCAAATTTTGGCGATTTTGGATTAGTTACGTGTGCTATGTTTACCGTCGTTGTGCAACCCATTCCCCCAAATATCACTCCGCCCCCACCGCCGAAGGACTTACGGCCATTGCTGTAATGAATGGCAAACCGCCCTGCCGACACGTCCGAGGAACCCCAGAAAGATCCCCTGAACTCCCCGCAAAAACACGCAAGTACTCCAAAGTGGGCTCTCTGACCACCTGATGACTTCAGAAATAACTCGAATCCAGAATGAGGAAGTGAGAATGATTCATGGATCACTTGTGCTACAGCTGCCCCGTCAGTCCCTGCCCCCTTAAAGTATTAAGAGTTTCATAGAGTTATTGGAAAGAGTTTGAGTATTAGTGGGCAAAACTTTTAGGAAGACTAATGTTGAAGAGAGTGTGAGAGACTTTTTGGAGGATTAGTGTTGAGGACGTGTAAAAGATAATTGTTGTATGGCGAGTTAGGGACATAATTGTTGGACGACTGGAGTGATAAGTGTGGATTATTTGAAGAAAACTCGCGCCCAGACGAGGTGACGGAAGGAAGTGGAGAGCAAAGAGAAATTCAGAGGAAATCGGAATAAAAACGCACCGGAAAATGAAAGGATTGGTGAATCGCCATGACCTGTCAGGGTCCCATTTTTATTCCCTGCCCTAACGAGTTTGTTTTGTCCGTATTAATTTCCCCTCGACGGTGAGCCTCAGACTATTTTTTTTTTATCAAAACCGAACCCCCTAAAGAAAATTGTTTCGTACTCCCCGTCCCCCAACTAGTAATTAAATTTGGTAAATGTATGCATGGTTCAGGTCCATCAAAAGCAATAATTATCGTAAGGATAATTCATCATCATTATGATGAATAACCTATTCGTATGCTTTCAATGGACTGAAAATGAAAGGAAAGACGTAGAAATGACAAGGAGATAAATACATCGAACAACGGCTTCAAGTAATCCCTTCCTGTACAGAAGGGTAGCGGCGGAAAAATAACTCGCCGTGTCCAATCAGTTACCATAGGTAGCCGGATAAGGTCAAATTCAGTTTTGTGATTATACTCGGGACCGATTGGAAATTCAATCTTTCAATATTGTCCATTGTTTTTAAGTGTATCAACATATGTTGTCTTTAGGGCCCATACACCGCCACGGCCTCGTCTTGACCCTGGACAAATCCTTAATCAGGAGATGGAAACCCATACAATCCGATGTATAATAATTAGACTGGCGTGGTGGACTTGATCTAGAACTTTACCATATGTTTTTCTCTAATGACCCCCTAACTTCTTCCATTTTAATTTATTTACAATCTCCCAGTTTCTCTGATTGCGTTGCCGCAAAATAGGCTAGCATTACCCTTCTCCCTCGAGTTCATAAATAAAAGCCAAGAGAGTACCGTCACTGTCCCAATTTATGCACGAGTCCCGATTCGTAGACGCAGTGCGCTATCGCGAGACAATTTGTAATAAATTAAACTCGCGGCATCATAAACGTGCAATATTTTCTGCGAATCAACAAGCGGAATTATTTTGTTATCAGTTGCAAGCTTCCTCCAAATCAAACGACCCGCTGAAAAGTTGGAAAAATCATTTTTCTTGAGAGCTGTCTCAGATTTCCTGTCTAATCAAT